GCCTGTTCGCCGCCGCCAACATCTTCTCGTCCCTCAAACTGGTGTACATATTCTCCGTGAACCCCCATTTAGGGCCCCTACAGATCAGTTTGGGCCGTATGGTCATCGATATACTCAAGTTCTTCAGTGTCTATACATTAGTGCTGTTTTCGTTCGCCTGCGGAATGAATCAATTGCTTTGGTATTGAGAATAGTTGTGAAACTTATCTAGCTAAGATATTGTGATATTTATGATTGTGTTTGCGGGGCACAGGTATTACGCCGACATGGAGAAGCAGGTGTGCGTATTGCAGCAGACGCTCAAACCGAGCTCTAAGAACTACACGGATATCGCGGCCTCACATCCCGACGCCTGTTTCATGTGGAGGCGGTTTGCCAAGTATGTAGGCGTTCGTACATGTATTGGATAGTGTATTAAATTGACCAAGTTGTTTAGACACGCTAATTAATGTAGTTGTATGTCCACTGCTTATGTAGTCTAACTAATTGCCGTTAATTCCCTGAACAGTTTGTTTGAATCGACGCAAACCCTGTTTTGGGCGAGTTTTGGACTCATAGATCTCGAGAACTTCGAGCTCACAGGTCTATAACCATTGCATACCATTCCCCATACCTATCACTCCCATTAATACCACATACTATGCTATAATCAACTGTATCGAAATTGTGGACCAAAAATAACTCATAGCTATTAATATAGGAATCCAGAGTTACACCCGATTCTGGGGGCTATTAATGTTCGGCTCGTATAGCGTTATAAACGTAATCGTGTTGTTGAATCTGTTGATAGCGATGATGAACCACTCATATCAGATGATCAGTGTAAGTTTGTTTTGTTGGTCATTACGTTTATCGCGCACCAAATCTGTGCTCTATTTGATGGCCTAAATGTGTGGCTAATGTATGGATGTGTCGGTGAGATCAGGAACAGGCGGACAAGGAGTGGAAGTTCGCGCGAAGCAAACTATGGATGAGTTATTTCAACGATGGGGAGACCGTTCCGCCGCCGTTTAACGTCATACCGACGCCCAAGTCTGTCATCTATTTCCTCAAATGGCTGTTTCACAAGTGCTGCGGTCAGACGCGTAAGGCTAAGAACGAGGCCATGAGAACAATCAGGGTCAGTCTCACTGTTGTATAGTGTGCAATTGTTTTGTTTTGTACTGGGTATTATGAAATGTTTAGCTAATTTTTGGCATTTTTTGTCATCTATATAGCGAAAGGCGCGCAAAGCGTCGGAAAGGGATCACAAATACCAGTCAGTGATGCGATCGCTGGTCAGGAGGTATATAACGAGCGAACAGCGCATCCAAGAGCGCCATAGAGTGGTGACCGAAGATGACTGCAATGAAATCAAACAAGACATCAGTGCTCTTCGCTACGATTTGCTGGAAATGCTCGGCACTAATAAGGGTTAGTATGCATCACATGTACAGTGTGTATGGGGTTAGAGTATGGGGGGTAGAGGTACTGTATATGAATTTGTAAGAATTAAGAATATTCTACACTATAGTACAGTATATGTATTGATAAGTACTCGGCGATTCCTGAGTTACATAACTGTTTCGCTTCACTCCATACGAAATATTCATTGCAAAGAATTTAAAAAATAATATCCTAACCTACTACAATCATTTAATTTAGCTGATAATTATTATGCTACATAATTAAGCTAGTATAATTGCTATCATAATATTTGAGATGCATAGCCCTATGGGTATCCCTATGTTTAATAGTAATTTAATTATTTATTTCAATTTACTTATTAATATTAGCAAGTTATTAGGATTTACATTGTAAATTATATGAATGTTGACAAAATTTATTACTATAATTTATTATGAGATATAATTATATAATTATGATATAATTATGAGATTGTCGCCTACCTAGATCATATATTTGTGACTACTGTGTCTTATTATAGAAATAGCGTGTATTTGTGTCATAACTGTAACCCATATTTCCCTATATTTCTAAAATTCATTCGCAAACCGCAGGCAAAGACGGGACGTCGACATCGGTGGGCAAAAGGGGTCGCCAGCGGGAGAGGCGACTC